GGCCACATGACCCGGAAAGTTGTCTGCTGACAAACGCTGGCTCCCTCGGCCTGAAAGCGAGAGGGGCGCCACAACCCCAGAGTCGCCTTTGACTGGACTTAACCATCCAGGGGTCCTTTACCGTTTTACCTATACCACTTCAGACTGCAGGTGGCAGTGCTGTTCTGAATGCTTCTTGACGTAAAGACGCACACGCAAAAATCTTCTCCTCAGGTAGTAAACTAGGACATCATTGGGGTAATCGGATGGTGGGGTTTTTATAAAAAAGAAAAAGCCGGGAGTCATCATTTAGAAATAAATGTCTGCACCCATGGTGCACCTAAGCAACTCAATGTCGCTTAAGATTTTATCTTAAAGGTAAAGGGACCCCTGACCATTAGGTCCAGTCGCGGACGACTCTGGGGTTGCGGCGCTCATCTCACTTTACTGGCCGAGGGAGCCAGCGTACAGCTTCCGGGTCATGTGGCCAGCAGGACTAAGCCACTTCTGGCGAACCAGAGCAGCGCACGGAAACGCCGTTTACCTTCCCGCAGGAGCGGTACCTATTTATCTACTTGCACTTTGATGTGCTTTCAAACTGCTAGGTCTTAGAATAGCTTTGGAAGTGGATATAGGCTGTAGGGTGAGAAGTAGAAAATAATGTATTTTAAAATAGTACTATTTTAAAGTACCCCTTCATGGATCAAGCTAGACAGCATCTTACAAAGCAGAGACATCACCTTGCCAACAAAGGTCCATATAGTTCAAGCTCTGGTTTTCCCAGTAGTGATGTATGGAAGTGAGAGCTGGACCATAAAGAAGGCTGATCGCCGAAGAATGGATGCTTTTGAATTCTGGTGCTGGAGGAGACTCTTGAGAGTCCCATGGACTGCAAGAAGATCCAACAGATCCATTCTGAAGGAAATCAGCCCTGAGTGCTCCCTGGAAGGACAGATCCTGAAGCTGAGGCTCCAAGACTTGGGCCACCTCATGAGAAGAGAAGACTCCCTGGAAAAGACCCTGGTGTTGGGAAAGATGGAGGGCACAAGGAGAAGGGGACGACAGAGGACGAGATGGTGGGACAGTGTTCTCAAAGCTACCAGTATGAGTTTGACCAAACTGCGGGAGGCAGTGGAAGACAGGAGTGCCTGGCGTGCTCTAGTCCAGGGGGTCATAAAGAGGCGGACACGACTAAACGACTAAACAACAACAATTTTAAAGTAAGTGATAAAATGTGAAGATTTTTATGGTAAAAGTAAGCGTGATTTTAAAAAATGGTTAGAAATTATGATATATGTAAACTGCTAAAGATGAGATAAAATGAAAATCAGATGGGGGGACTTGGGGAAGCCCACCTAACAATGTTTAGAAAAAATAAGGATAAGACAAGAATTTGTTTGTATTGTTTGTTTTTCTGTTTGTGTTGTTTAGTTGTGTTATAAAATGAATAAAAAAAAATTGGGGGGGAGATTCCTGCATTTTAGGGGGTTGGACTAGATGACCCCTGGGGTCCCTTCCAACTCTACAATCCTATGATTTACTGAAATTTCAAAGAATGCAGCCCAGTGCAGGACGTGAAGAGAGAAGAGGGCCCTTCCGACAAAAGCCGTGCTGGAGATTTGTGAGTTGGTTTGATGGACGGCATCTGACTTTGCATGGGAGAAGAGCTCCATCTGGTGTAGATCTGCTCAATTTGCATCAGTGTCAAGGCGGCGAGACGCACTCCTGCCTCCAGATCCTTTTCCAGTGCTTTGTTCTCACGTGGGTGGCGCTGTGGACTAAACCACAGAGCCTTTTGGGCTTGCCGATCAGATGGTCGGCGGTTCAAATCCCCGTGATGGGGTGAGCTCCCGTTGCTCGGTCCCAGCTCCTGCCAACCTAGCAGTTCGAAAGCATGTCAAAGTGCAAGTAGATAAATAGGTACCACTCTGGCGGGAAGGTAAATGGTGTTTCCGTGCGCTGCTCTGGTTCGCCAGAAGCGGCTTATTCATGCTGGCCACATTACCCGGAAGCTGTACGCCGGCTCCCTCGGCCAATAAGGCGAGATGAGCGCCGCAACCCCAGAGTCAGTCACAACTGGACGTAATGGTCAGGGGTCCCTTTACCTTTTAGCTTTTAGCAGCACCCCTCCTGCAACCCCTCGGTTGGTGCTATGGGTTAAACCACAGAGCCTAGGACTTGCCGATCAGAAGGTTGGTGGTTTGAATCCCCGCGAAGGGGTGAGTTCCCGTTGCTCGGTCCCTGCTCCTGCCAACCTAGCAGTTCGAAAGGACGTCAAAGTGCAAGTAGATAAATACCGTATTTTTCGCACGATTGGACGCACCGGACCATAGGACGCACCTAGTTTTTTGGGGGGAAATAAAGGAAAAAATTTGGGGGGGGGGAATAAAGGAAAAAACTCCTGCAAGCCTCCCCACGCTGCGGATGTGTTCCCGAAGCGCCTGGAGCTCTGCTTTCAGGGCGCCCGGCGCTCCGGGAAGCAGGCTGCTATCCGCAGCCTAGACACGGCTAGCGGAGCGCTAATCCCGAAGCCCCAAGCTTCGGGATTAGCGCGGCGCTTCGCTAGCCCTGGGAGAGCCCGCTACGTCGCGGGGCTCTCCCAGGGCTAGCGAGACCTTGCCGGCACCCAGAAGCTTGGGGCGCGCTGAGCTCCGCGCGCCCCAAGCTTCGGGATTAATGCAGCGCTCCGCTAGCCGCGGCTAGCGGATAGCTTCCTGAAGCCTGGAGAGCGAGAGGGGTCGGTGCGCACCGACCCCTCTCACTCTCCAGGCTTCAGCGAAAGCCTGCATTCGCTCCATAGGACGCACACACATTTTCCCTTGCTTTTTAGGAGGGAAAAATTGCGTCCTATGGTGCGAAAAATACGGTAGGTACAGCTCCGGCGGGAAGGTAAATGGCGTTTCCGTGCGCTGCTCTGGTTCGCCAGAAGCGGCTTAGTCATGCTGGCCACATGACCCGGAAGCTGTACGCCGGCTCCCTCGGCCAATAAAGCGAGATGAGCGCCGCAACCGCAGAGTCAGCCACGACTGGACTTAACGGTCAGGGGTCCCTTTACCTTTACAAGGCCGTGAGGTGCACTCCTACCTCCAGATTTTTTCTGGTGCTTTGCTCTCACAACTGCCGGGGATCTCGGAGGTTGCAGCAAGAAGAGGCAGCAGTGCCTAGTGCTCAAAGCTCGGTTCAAAAGGGGAAGAACCAGTTGGCCTCCTCTGAAACCCAAACTGTCCTGAAGCTGTCCCAGCATCTTGCCTGCCTGGCGTCCCGCCCTGCGACAGCCCTTCGAGGCTGACCCCATCCCCGGTCCCCATGGGTTGCTGGAGCTCCAGGCGGCATTGCCACATATAGACTCGCCACCTGCCGCTCCGGGGACACGTGGCGTCCTCCGTACAGTGCCCACGCTATTTATAGCAGCATTCTGCGCAGATTAACACTCGCTTAACGAGAAGGAGCTGAGTTATGGGCCTATAAATACATCAAAAGGCCGGCGAGCGAACTGGGGAGGAAGAAACCAAGTGTTGCGGGAGGAGAGGGGCCGCATCCGGGGACAAAGGGGAGACCCTTCGCAGAACTGCGGAGTTCTGGTTGGGATCCCGAAATGTCATGTAGCCCAACCCCGCTTTTGCATTTGGATGGGGACAGAAGATCAATTACAAAGACAAAACAATCTACACTAGAATATTACCGTATTGGCCCCAAATATAAGCTGCAATTCCCCCCCGCCCCCAATTCCAACAGTGAAAAGTTAAAGCGCGGCTTAAATTCGCGACCTTGCAAAAATTGGCTTTTACGGTATTGCTGCCGAAACAGAAGGCACCAAAAAATGTTTTACTGCCGATTTGCGAGCTTGAGACTGTTGGGCAATTAATTCCAATGTCATTCATCGCTTTCCCCATATTTTACAGTGCAGTTATGATTTTATTTTTATTTTTTATTTTTTGCATTTACGGTGCTACAAACAGGTGTTTAACCCACTTGCGGGTCCTCGCTAGTATCCATAGGATGTTCTTCTATATTTGCCATTTACGCGTGTGAGTGCCTGCGGAATTGAAGCAGCTGAATTTGCGATTTTTGCAGTTGTATGGGAACTTTTGCGGGCTTGCAAGATCAAAGGCTTAAATTGACTCGGAGTTACAATTCTACCAACCACAGCGATTTTCAGCCTGCAGCCCAATTTTAAGGGAGCAGCTTATATTCGGGTATTGTCTTTTTCCCCCCCCCCCCCTTGAATTTTAAAGGTACAGCTTATTTGCGGGTGAGGCTTATATTTGGGCCAATACGGTATTATTATATCTAATTATCTATCTATTGATGTGTACCACGACAGGACACAAGGTAGATTACAGATAAAAACAAAAATCACTAAAAACATGGGGAAAAGCAATAAATAAAAAGCAAGCAAGCATTGATAAAACCAAAACTATACAGTACATAAAATATATTAAGAATAATTTGAATACAGTAATTGCAATAAGAGCAGCACAGCTCCAGCCTGTTAATTAAAAGCAGTCAGTTCTCAAATGGTCTTCACCTGCTGGCAGAAGAGACCAAGAAGGGAGCCAATCCGACTTCTTAAAGGAGGGAGTACCAGAGTTTTCTGGGAGCCACCACCAAGAAGGCCCTCCCCCTTCTCAATAATTATTAGTATCAGTATTAGTATTAATTAAATTTATTAGTCACTTCTTACCAAGGCAACCCAATGCAACTTGGAAAACTCCTTTAAAAATTACAGAATTGGGTAAATTAAGAGGAAGGATTCGAAACCTGCGGGACCAGAGATTCTTAGAAGACTGGAGTAAATATACGAACTATTTGAAAAGCAATTGTAATGAACAGATTACACTAGCAGGACTGCAAGAAGTTCTGTGAGGAGGACTATTTGAAATATTGCAAGAAAGACTATGAGGAGAATTATTAGTTAATGATAATTAAGAGTAATAGAGAAATTAAGAAATGCAGAATAAGTGATAAAGAACGGGAAATCATCAGAGGTGAAACAAACACACACAGAGGCCAGGACTGACCTTGGAGTCTCTGAATCTGCTTCGTGAAGGTCTCGGCCTGCTGAGCACTGGCAAGTCTCTCGTCTTCCAGCAACCCTGCCGCAGAGAGAAAAAGCAGAATAAACTGTTGACCCTCTTGAAGAGGCAGCCACAAATTCAAGAGCCAGGAGTTCCCTCTCTTCAGCTTCTCAAAAGCAATGTGCAGATCACCTTCCTTGCTATGGCTCCTCTCTGTTGCACAGTTGTGTTTCCGAAACCCTGGCTTCCGTTACAGAAGCACAGTGAAATCCACCTCAGCCTCTGGAAGTCCAGGCATATGCCTCCTGGCTGGGGAACCAAGGCTGAGCTTGGCAGTCCCTGCGCAATGTTGCTTAAAAGCTGCCTGCACCTTTACCATTTGCAGTGGTACCTCGATTCCCAAACTTAATCCATTCTGGAAGTCCATTCCAAAACTGTTAAGTTGTGGGTGAACATATAAGACGACACAGCGATTCTCCAAACAGCTCTTGTTTATTCACAGGCCAGAACAGAACTGAACAGAAGGGTTCAGCCAGCCTGCTTATATAGAGCTCCAGTACAACGTAACTGTAACAACTTTCTGTAACTATCCAATCACTGAACGTCACTTTCAATCCCTTATTTGCTTATGTGGACCTGAGCGAAAACTATCTACAGTATCCCCCTGCTGGCCCAGGGTGAGAACTTCAGTATATAACAAAAACAAAAGTGTTCCAAAACCAAGGCACGCTTTCCCATGGAAAGTAATGCAAAAGAGATTACAGTGGTTCCTCGCAAGACGAAATTAATTCATTCCGTGAGTTTTGTCATCTTGCGATTTTTTTCGTCTTGCGAAGCACGGTTTCGGAAAAGTTTTGGAAAAGCTTCAAAAATCACCAAAGTCTTTAAAAACCTCAGAAAAGGCTACCACACCGTGTGCTATGAGTTGCTCCTCGAAGTCAAGTCGCAACTGTATTAACGGTTTTAAGAAAAAGGAAACAAACTTGCAAGACGTTTCCGTCTTGCGAAGCAAGCCCATAGGGAAAATCGTCTTGCGAAGCAGCTCAAAAAACAAAAAACCCTTTCGTCTTGCGAGTTTTTTGTCTTGCGAGGCATTCGTCTTGCGAGGTACCGCTGTAATCCGTTCCAGATTTTTAAATACAACCCCTAAAACAGCAAATTACCATGCATTTTACTATCTAACAAGACGACTGATCCATAAAATGAAAGCAATAAACAATGTACTGCAGTCACACAGTCAATCAGTAGCTGAACCGGGTTCCACACAGTCACAAAAACCACTGGCGGAGGAAGGGGGTGCGGCGGGTGCAATCCGCCCCGGGTGTCATCCCAGGGGGGGTGAGATTGCCACTGGCGCCACCCCCCCTGCGAAACTTGCCCCTCGCCCTGCCCCCATGGGCAGCTAGCCCTGCCCGCAGGAGCACAGCATGTTTGCCGCTCTGGATGCCGGAGCAGCTAGCTCTGCCTCTGAGAAAACCAAAACAAAAAAAGCTGCAAAAGCAGAAAATAAATAGCAAAAACATGCCGACCTCAGCGTAACACTCAAAACAGAAGTGTGGCACTCAGATCGGAAGTGTGGCACTCAAAACGGAGCACGTTTGGCTTCTGAAAAAAGTTCGCAAACCGGAACACTTACTTCCAGGTTTTCAGGGTTTGGATTCCTAGCTGTTTGTGTACCAAGGCGTTTGAGAACCAAGGTACCACTGTATTAAATTCTACTTGCTGCCTTGTGGGATAAATTCTGAGGAAAAAGAGGCTCAGGAGAAATTCCAACACAAACCCAGAGTGCAGTCCCTAAGGCGGCTGGATGGCGCCTTGTTAGAGTTGCCATACATCCAGAATTTCCCAGACATACCCGGAATACTGCAGATGAAAGCAGTGTCTGAGCTGAAATTGGCTAAACTTTTCTGTCAGGATTTTCACAATAAGAAACCAAACCAACCCCTGTGTTGCAAAGAGAACGTCAGCAATGTCTAGGCAACACTATGACCATGTACATACGCAATAGACAATCTATATAGAATTCCTTCAAACCATAACAAGTCCAAAATGAAATCTTTAGTCTCAAAGTCTCTGGAAATCTTTAAAAGAAGCAAGGTACCAGACTTTGTACGGTGAAAGACGAGCTGTGAAGCTTTGTGTATTCAGCAAATATGATGTCCAACGCTGAACAGTGATTTTGGATAATGACTACTGTTTCATAGAATTCTTCGTCAGTGTGGTGGGAGGATAGAGAATTGCTTCGTAAACCCATCTTATTTCGAATGAACGTATGTAAACGAAAATATCAAATGCTGTGGAAATAATGTACTCACAGCGAAGCAGAGTGGGGGGTCTTGCGCCCTGGGGCGGTCCCTTCAGTGTTGCTCCATCGACTTTGTTGAATTAATTAAGCTAAAAAGTATTGATTGTGCAACGAACTGTGACTGTTTTATTGTGTTATTCTCTTCCTTAGAGAGTCGGGCAAACCGCTATACTACCACCCATTTTCAGAACCATAAGCCAGTCTGTGCGAACGCATACCAAAGAGCAGACATATAATCTAACTTTCTGCATAAGAGTTGTGCAAGCAGATTGCTGCACAGGTGGGTCGTCTGGAGGAAACTGACACGACCTGAAAAAATTGGCAGGTTCCAGGGACCCCGCAGCCCTGAGGCAAGACACCCACCTTGCAATTCGAGGGAATCCCCTTCGTGCTTGAGGGCCACCTCCCGGACTTCTTCCAGCTCGTCCAGCAAACGCATCACCTGGGCTCTCAACTCCCGCTGCTTCTCCTCGTCCGGCTCTTTCTCGTCGTCTGAAGAGTCCAAGTTCCTGACCTCCACCTCGTCGTCCTCGTCCTCCTCCTCCTCTTCTTCATCTTCCTCATCTTCCTCCTCCAACTCGTTTATTTCGACATTGGGGGTCTCCACCTCACCTGGGAGGAAACATGCCTCTGTCAGCAAAAGGCAGAACGGGAGAGGAGAATCGTAGAGACTGGAGGGACACCCAGGAGTCATCTATCCCAACCCCCTGAGAGTACTGAATCCCTTGCAGTTGTCTGTCCAACCTCTGCTTATAAATCTCTAAGGAAGGAGAGTCGGCCGCCCACCATGTTAACACAAGCAGCTTTCGCCATCTTCTGGCAGACAAGCAGAACTTCAGGAGGAGGCAGGTGTGTGGGAATGTTCAGAGAAGCAGGAGAAGATATATTGTTTATTAATAGCCTTCCTAACTTGAGCTAGCAAGTTCCTTTACTTCAGTGTTCCCCAGCCTTGGGCTTCCAGCTGTTTTTGGACTACAATTCCCATCATCCTTGACCACTGGTCTTGCTAGCAAGGGATGATGGGAGTTGTAGTCCAAAAACAGCTGGAGGCCCAAGGTTGGGGAACACTGCTTTACTTAGCAGAGTTTTACATTCTCCTTTTAAACGCACAGCGGATAACTGGTTGCATGCTTGTGTAAGCCTCTCACTATCAGGTTCCTGGTAAGTTCCCTTAAAGGTAAAGGGACCCCTGACCATTAGGTCCAGTCGCGGACGACTCTGGGGTTGCGGCGCTCATTTCGCTTTACTGGCCGAGGGAGGCAGCGTACAGCTTCCGGGCCACATGGCCAGCGTGACTAAGCCGCTTCTGGCGAACCAGAGCAGCACTCGGAAACCCCCTTTACCTTCCCGCAGGAGCGGTACCTATTTATCTACTTGCACTTGGACGTGCTTTCGAACCGCTAGGTTGGCAGGAGCAGGGACCGAGCAACAGGAGCTCACCCCGTCACGGGGATTCGAACCGCTGACCTTCTGATCGGCAAGTCTTAGGCTCTGTGGTTTAACCCACAGCGCCACCCGCGTGCCTCTTAAAAGAATAGACACACCACAATCTTGTGTAAAGTATATAAAAGAAGTTTACTCACATCATCAGTTCACAGTTGGATCCATGAAGGCAGACTTAGTTACAAAGTATATACATGGGGATCTATCCCATATGGGGATAAGCCCAGTGTCCTCTGTTGGCTGGAAGCAGGAGGGGGGAAAACCTGGAAGCAGGATCTGACCATAAGAACACCCCCCCCCTCCTGGGGTTTCCAGCAACAGGAAGGTGCCTCAGACTCTTGGTCTATCCAGCCCAGTATTGTCTGCACTGGCCAACAGCAGCTGTCCTAGTTTCAGATTGAAGGCATTCCCAGTCCTACCTGGAGGTGTCAGGAATCGAACTCAGAACCTTCTGCAGATCCTCTACCTCTGAGCTACTGCTCTTCCCCATCTACACTCTCATTCTGCGGGCTTTTAAAAACACCCCCTCCATTTACGCTGGCTTTCCCTCGAGTTCTCCAACCCAGACTTCGGTTTTAATTACCGTGTTGTTCTAATGGAATTACTTCCTTGCCTATTTTAATTATGGGTGCCTATACTGTAATACTTCTAACAGAATTGCTTTATCGTGCATTTTAATTATGGGTGTTTACATTTTAATATTTGTGCAATTGGTTTTTGCGCTTGCAAAGCTATCCTGGCTTTATGCTTTATATAAATTAACGCATCAGCAACAATTTCTTATGAATTTGCACTCCATTCTGCAAACCTCTGAGCGGCAGCTGCGTCACAGGCCCAATTTTAAGGTCAGAAATAAAGGAAAGGGGATTCTGTTATCTTCCGCTTGGACTACTGCAATGCGCTCTACGTGGGGCTACCTTTGAAGGTGACCCGGAAACTACAACTAATCCAGAATACGGCAGCTAGACTGGTGACTGGGGGCGGCCACCGGGACCACATAACACCGGTCTTGAAAGACCTACATTGGCTCCCAGTACGTTTCTGAGCACAATTCAAAGTGTTGGTACTGACCTTGAAAGCCCTAAACGGCCTCACCCTAGTATACCTGAAGGAGCATCTCCACCCCCATCGTTCTGCCCACTCACGGAGGTCCAGCTCCGAGGGCCTTCTGGCGGTTCCCTCATTGCCAGAAGTGAGGTTACAGGGAACCAGGCAGAGGGCCTTCTCGGTGGTGGCACCCGCCCTGTGGAACACCCTTCCATCAGATGTGAAGGAAATAAGTAGCTATCCTATTTTTAAAAGACATCTGAAGGCAGCCCTGTTCAGGGAAGTTCTTAATATTTAATGCTGTATTGTTTTTAACACTCGATTGGGAGCCGCCCAGAGTGGCTGGGGAAACTCATCCATATGGGCGGGGTATAAATCATAATTACAGTGGTACCTCTGGTTACATACTTAATTCGTTCCGGAGGTCCGTTCTTAACCTGAAACTGTTCTTAACCTGAAGCACCACTTTAGCTAATGGGGCCTCCCGCTGCTGCCGAGCCGTCGGAGCACAATTTCTGTTCTTATCCTGAAGCAAAGTTCTTAACTCGAGGTACTATTTCTGGGTTAGTGGAGTCTGTAACCTGAAGCGTTTGTAACCCGAGGTACCACTGTAATAATAATAATAATAATAATAATAATAATAATTATTATTATTATTATTATTTTGGCTAAACGTTAGGGTGCACTTCTTGACCGTGATGAAGTCTCCTTCATTAGAGGTGTAGAAACAAAATCTGGATGCCCGTCCATCAGGGATGCTTCAACAACAAGATTCCTGAGTCGGCGTGGGGTTGGACTAAATGACCTCTAAGGTCCCCTTCCGAGGCAAAGTTGGGGAATCTGACTGACTCCCATCAGCCCCAGCCAGCATGGCCAATTGTCAGGGAGTGATGGGAGCCATAGTCCAACCACCTCTTAAGAGTCTCAGGCTAGCCTGTAATTTAAAAAAAAATTGTTCTTATGCTAACTCATTTTCTTCTATTGCTCTTTTTAGCAAATACTTTAGATCCTGTGTGAGTGTCTGGAGGCGGTTGGAGGATGGATGGCGGCTAACAGATTGGGGTTGAATCCTGACAAGACAAAAATACTGTTTTGGGGGGACAGGAGGCGGGTGGGTGTGGAGGACTCCCTGGTCCTGAATGGGGCAACTGTGTCCCTGAAGGACCAGGTGCGCAGCCTGGGAGTCATTTTGGACTCACAGCTGTCCATGGAGGGGCAGGTCAGTTCTGTGTCCAGGGTGGCTGTCTACCAGCTCCATCTGGGAGGCAGGATGAGACCCTATTTGCCCGCAGACGTGTCTCGCCAGAGTGGTGCATGCTCTAGTTATCTCTCGCTTGGACTACTGCAATGCGCTCTACGTGGGGCTACCTTTGAAGGTGGCCCGGAAACTGCAATTAATCCAGAATGCGGCCACTAGACTGATGACTGGGAGCGGCCACCGGGACCACATAACACCGGTCTTGAAAGACCTACATTGGCTCCCAGTATGTTTCCAAGCACAATTCAAAGTGTTGGTGCTGACCTTTCAAGCCCTAAACAGCCTTGGTCCAGTATACCTGAAGGAGCGTCTCCACCCCCATCATTCTACCCGGACACTGAGGTCCAGCACCGAGGGCCTTCTGGCGGTTCCCTCACTGCAAGAAGCCAAGTTACAGGGAACCAGGCAGAGGGCCTTTTCAGTAGTGGCACCCGCCCTGTGGAACGCCCTCCCATCAGATTTCAAAGAGAAAAACAACTACCAGACTTTTAGAAGACATCTGAAGGCAGTCCTCTTTTAATGTTTGATGTATTACAGTATTTTAATATTTTTTTGGAAGCCACCCAGAGTGGCTGGGGAAGCCCAGCCAGATGGGCAGGGTATAAATAAATTATTATTATTATTATTATTATTATTATTATTATTATTATTATTATTATTATCTTCTAAAGGTCTTTTGTCTAGTAAGATGCATCTATATCTTGTTAATTAAACAAATGCTAAACAGCCGCCCTGTTCTAAGAGGCCGAGAATTACAAGAGAAATCAAATACGCAACGTGGTGTCAGAAGTTTTTGCTGTCGTTCTCAACGGGGGCAAAGAAGCTGCGTTATTCAGACCATTTGCTCACATCGCCTGTTTTATTCTAACCGACAGCAGCCCCCTGGGGAACGAGGCAGGCAGGGAAAAGGCTCTTCAGACTCCCTGATTCTCTTTGCAAGCAGGAATAGAATCAGAGATGGCCAGGTGTGGCTAGGATGACCCCACAATTCCGTTTGCAACCTGCCATCTCCACAACAGCTTGCGGCAGGCATTATTTCTTAAGAGCGGAGAATTCTCGTGAAATAAAGATCTGTCCCTTAATACAGAGCCCACAAGTCAAGGGATACCTGGCAAGCTCAGTATTCTTATTCTTATTAATTTCCCACCCTAAGGCCCCAGGGACGCGGGTGGCGCTGTGGGTAAAAGCCTCAGCACCTAGTGCTTGCTGATCGAAAGGTCGGCTGTTCGAATCCCCGCGGCGGGGTGCGCTCCCGTTGCTCAGTCCCAGGGCCTGCCAACCTAGCAGTTCGAAAGCACCCCCGGGTGCAAGTAGATAAATAGGGACCGCTTACCAGCGGGAAGGTAAACGGCGTTTTCGTGTGCTGCGCTGGCTCGCCAGATGCAGCTTTGTCACGCTGGCCACGTGACCCGGAAGTGTCTCCGGACAGCACTGGCCCCCGGCCTCTTAAGTGAGATGGGCGCACAACCCTAGAGTCGGACACGACTGGCCCGTACGGGCAGGGGTACCTTTACCTTTAAGGCCCCAGGCCTGCTCACAAGATTTTGAACGTTAAAATGTTAAGTAAGACCGACATGCTTACTCCAGAACAATGTTTTTTCATATAATGAATGAAGCTTTGCAAGGTTAAAGAAAGAGAAAAATGGTGAAAAAAGTATAAAGATAGAGGTAATCTGCATTGCCTGTTGTCTTTGTCCATGGAGTTTTCTTGGCAGGGATACTGGAGTGCTTGCCAGTTCCTGGTCCAGGTAGATCACGTTTGGTCTAAACTCTCCACTATGACCTGTCCATCTTGGGTGGCCCTGCATGACATAGCTCATAGCTTCTCTGAGTTATTCAAGCCCCTTCGCCACAGCAAGGCAGTGATCCATGAAGGGGATCACATCACCTTGCCAACAAAGGTCCATATAGTTCCAGCTATGGTTTTCCCAGTAGTGATGTATGGAAGTGAGAGCTGGACCATAAAGAAGGCTGATCGCCGAAGAATGGATGCTTTTGAATTCTGGTGCTGGAGGAGACTCTTGAGAGTCCCATGGACTGCAAGAAGATCAAACCTCTCCATTCTGAAGGAAATCAGCCCTGAGGGCTCACTGGAAGGACAGATCCTGAAGCTGAGGCTCCAAGACTTTGGCCACCTCATGAGAAGAGAAGACTCCCTGGAAAAGACCCTGATGTTGGGAAAGATGGAGGGCACAAGGAGAAGGGGACGACAGAGGACGAGATGGTGGGACAGTGTTCTCAAAGAGACCAACATGAGTTTCACCAAAGTGCGGGAGGCAGTGGAAGACAGGAGTGCCTGGCGTGTTGTGGTCCAGGGGGCCACGAAGAGTCAGACATGACTGAACAACTAAACAACAACAACACATTCTACATTAGACACAACAACTTAGAAAGAGTACAAATTTTGAGGTCTTAGAACAAAGGAAGAAAGTCAATATGTATATAATGATTAGATTAGAATGATGATATGGTTATATTTGTAGATGTGTGTTTTTGTTTTTTGTCTTTTTGTGTTCTTTTTTTCTTTTGTGTTTTGTTTTTTGTTTTTTCTTGATTGTACTGTTTTATTTTGGATTCAATGTTTGTAATTTTTGTTGTAATTTTGCATTGAATTTTTTTAAAAATATATATATATTAAGTAAGACCAGTATAAAATAACTTGCAGTTACAGAAATAAGATGGGTCCTAAAAAACATGCACCTGAAGGGTCAAAGGCCAGGGACAAGTGTCTTCAGCATCCTCCAGAAGCTGTGCAACGAAGGTGACAGACGTGCCTCTGTGGGGAGGGAGTATCATGGCTTAGGGGCCACCACAGAAAAGGCCCTGTCTCCCAGGCTACCATCCTGAGCCTCTGAGAGTGGAGGAACTCTCAAGAGGTCCCCCTCTGGGGCCTGAGTCAATTAGGGCTTTAAACATTCACATGTTTACGGCCTAGGACCCTCGTACCTACAGGACCACCTCTCCTGGTATGCCCCACAGAGGACCTTACGATCTTCAAACAAAAACATCTTGGAGGTCCCTGGCCACAGGGAGGTTAGGCTGGCCTCAACCAGAGCCAGGGCCTTTTCAGCCGTGGCCCCGATCTGGTGGAATGCTCTGTCCCAAGAGACTAGGGCCCTGCGGGACTTGACATATTTCCGCAGGGCCTGCAAGACAGAGCTGTTCTACCAGGCCTTTGGCCAAGGCACACTCTGACCCCCTCCTTTGGCCATCCTCACAGAACTGTGGCCCAATGGTTGCCATTAATTTGATTTAGAATTGATTTTAGAATGAATTGGTTTTAGAATGCTGTGTTACTTTTATTGCTGTTAGCCGCTCTGAGCCCAGCTTCGGCTGGGGAGGGCGGGATATACCGTAAAAAAAATTTTTAAAAAATATTATTATTAACATCTTATGAGAACGTAAGAATGTTTTTTCTCCTGCTCTGGGATGTAGGACCTGAACCCATGGCTTCAAGTTACAGAAAAGTCAATTCAGGCTAAAGATCAGGAAGAACTTTCTGATGGTAAGAGCTGTTTGGCAGTGGAACAGTCTGCCTCTGGAGGTTGTGGACCTTGGAGGTTTTTAAGCAGAGGTTGGGTGCTTATCTGTCATGGGTGCTTGAGCTGAGATTCCTGCATTGCAGGGGGTTGGACTAGATGACCCTCAGGGTCCCTTTCAACTCTCCAATTCTATGATTCCAAGACAAGCCGCCTGGATCAGGCCAACAGCCCATCGAGTCAAGAGCTCTCTTCTCATAGTGGTCAGCCAGATACCTGTGGGAAGCCTGCAAACAGGATGCGACCACAAGAGCCCTCTTCCCTCCCGCAGCTGATATTCAGAAGCATGGCTGCCTCTCTAACCCTCTTCACCTCCTCTATGAATTTGTCTATTTGAAATCCCTGTGGCAGGGAGTTCCACAGGTTAACTGCACTGCGTGAAGAAGGGCTTTCGTGTATCTGTCCCTTGAACTTCTGCCTGCTGCAGTGTCTGCAGAGTGGGGCAATCTGGGGCGAGGGTGGGGAGGGCAGGGCAGCCCCCTAGCCCCACCGCGGTTCTGTTATGGGGCACAGACCACCCAACGCATGTATCCCTTATGGGATACATTCTTCCTAAGGCCTTCACAACCCCACAAGTCTCCGAAGATCGCAGTCTCCTCGCTTCTTTCTTGGAGGGTTATGTAACTGGGTCAGTTGGGGGGGGGAGAAATCGGGTGGGCAGCTGGAGGGGTGCGGAGAGAGAGATGCAATTCCTCTTGGACAAAGAGAAGCCCTTTTCTCGCTGCAGCCCTTTTAGACACAATTTCAAGGGGGTGGGGTCCAGATGGAACCGGGGAAGGGGGGCAGGAAAACGGACTAACTCCTCAATGATCAAAAGGATGGAGCGTCCAGAACACGTGTGTGTGTGTGTGTGTGTGTGTGTGTGTGTGTGTGTTAGAGACACACAATTCAGCCGCATTTCCAGAAAACCCACTTTCCCCTACCCCAAACACTCTCCAGAAAACTCCCGTTTTGCATTCCTTTTTCTCCACCGGTTTCCCCCCAAATCCTGTTCTCCAAACGGGGCCGGGACTCCTCAAGAGGTGTATATTTGGGGAAAGGGTCTCGGGTAGCAAAGAGACTGGACTTTCCACCACATACCCTCCTCGCCCGCCGGATGACATAACCACCGCCCGTGATGTCATCAGCGCAAGGTGTGACTCTATATTTTTTCCCAAAGAGAGAGATGGGTGGGGAAGGGTCGCAGAGGGGGAGGGCTGCGCGTGCCCCTGAAGGTGGGCACAGGACGGGGGGTGGGGGGGAGGGCAGCCACAGGTGGAAAGTGGAGAGCGGGAGGGGAGAGGGGGGGGACGGCCGGGAAGGAGGGGAGGAAGGCGAGACCCCGGAGAGGTGAAGGCGCTTGGAAGGGAGACGGATGGAGGGGACGCAACGGAAAGGCTGCGGGGATGGAAGGGGAGGGGAGCAGGGGGGTTGCGGGGGTCCTTGCGGGAGTTGTGGCTGCGCCCCCCTCCTCTCAATCAAACCCGCCCCCCCATCACTGACCTGCTCTCTCCGTCCGCCTCCCAAGCAGCTGCAGCTCAGCTGCTTCCATGGCCGTTTCTGGAGCGAAAAAGCAGACGGAGGGGGGGGTGGAGGGGGAAGAAGGAGGCGGGGAGGCGGGGGAGGGGAGGAGGGGGAGGAGGCAGGGCCCACCCCCAGGCTGGCGGAAGGCGCACACACAGAGAGAGATAGAGGGCTGGCGCTACCCGGAGCCCATCCTCACAACCCGGGCTGGCGGAACCCAAACGCGACACCTCTTTGGCGCGCTCGCGCCGGTACCCAAAGATGCTTTCTGTTGCGCGCTGGAAATCGGTACCCAGGAGCGCGCAGCCGAGCTTTTGGCCGCCCGGGTGCCCAGCGGGAAAAATCGGGGACGTCTCCGGCTCGACATTCCGCGCGCGTAACCGCTGTGGAGGGCTCGCAACCAAGCGCAAAACGCGCACATAAATGGACACCCGGCCGTGGCGTTTCTGGCGAGGCCTGCTCTTTAGCCAAAGGTTAAAACCTCACAACTTCAGAGCCACCGACACGCTTGTGCATTTGCAGGGGGCCAGCGCATACACTCGCACATCCTGGCAGATGGCCCGAGCCGGGGAGCATCAGCGCATGGCTCTCCCCCCAGCCTCCCGGCACTCAGACATGCCCCCAGACACGCGCGGAGCGCTCGAAATGCGCATTCCCATATGGCGAGCTCTGCTATTCCCAAGCGCAAGCGCTCGAATCGACGCGCACCAAGGAGCAGGCGGGGTTGTCCGCTTGGCACGCACACCCAACGGTAGGGGGGCAAGCTCAGCACCAGCCGAGACCCACAGCCCAGCCCCACATCCTGGCAAATAGAAGGGGAAGAAATGGAGGCAGTGAGAGATTTTACTTTCTTGGGCTCCATGAACAGTGGAGATGGTGACAGCAGTCACGAAATTAAAGCCTGCTTCTTGGGAGAACGGCAATGACAAACCTAGACAGTATCTTTAAAAGCAGAGACATCACCTTGCCAACAAAGGTCCGTATAGTTCAAGCTCTGGTTTTCCCAGTAGTGATGTATGGAAGTGAGAGCTGGACCATAAAGAAGGCTGATTGCCAAAGAATTGATGCTTTTGAATTATGGTGCTGGAGGAGACTCTGGAGAGTCCCATGGACTGAAAGATTAAACTTATCCCTTCTGAAGGAAATCATTGTTGTTGTTGTTTAGTTGTGTCCGCCTCTTCGTGACCCCCTGGACCAGAGCACGCCAGGCACTCCTGGCTCCCACTGCCTCCCAGTTTGGTCAAACTCATGCTGGTAGCTTCGAGAACACTGTCCCACCATCTCATCCTCTGTCGTCCCCTTCTCCTTGTGCCCTCCATCTTTCCCAACATCAGGGTCTTTTCCAGGGAGTCTTCTCGTCTCATGAGGTGGCCCAAGTCTTGGAGCCTCAGCTTCAGAATCTGTCCTTCCAGTGAGCACTCAGGGGTGATTTCCTTCAGAATGGAGAGGTTTGATCTTCTTGCAGTCCATGGGACTCTCAAGAGTCTCCTCCAGCACCAGAATTCAAAAGCATCAATTCTTATGCAATATTTTTCTTTACAGCATTGGACTTTCACTTCCAGGCATATCCGCAACTGAGCGACCTTTCGGCTTCGGCCCAGCCGCTTCATCAGCTCTGAATCTACTTGTACTTGTCCTCCGCTGTTCCCCAGTAGCATGTTGGACGCCTTCCGACCTGAGGGGCTCATCTTCCAGCGTCATAACTTTTATATGCCTGTTGTCTTTGTCCATGGAGTTTTCTTGGCAGGGATACTGGAGTGGCTTGCCGGTTCTTGCTCCAGGTGGATCACGTTTGGTCAAAACTCTCCACTATGACCTGTCCATCTTGGGTGCCCTGCTCGGCGTAGTTCATAGCTTCTCTGAGTTATTCAAGCCCCTTCGCCACGGCAAGGCAGTGATCCAGGACCTGTGACTGTCTAACTGCAGTCCGGGGACTATGTCTGCATTTGCCACTGTGTCCAGCAGGGGGCAGCAGAGATCATGCGACAGCGGCAGACACACCTTTTCAGAGGTGCAAAACAAACTTAAATTGCATTTCAGCTCTGAGTCTGCAGGAGACACAAAATCTGGGCCTACCCCAGGGGTAGGCAACCTATGGCCCAGGGGCTGGATGCGGCCCAATCGCCTTCTCAATCCATCCCGCAGACGGTCCAGGAATCAGCGTGTTTTTACATGAGTAGAATGTGTCCTTTTATTTAAAATGCATCTCTGGGTTATTTGTGGGGCATAGGAATTCGTTCTTTCCCCAAAAAAAAATATAGTCCGGGCCCCCACATGGTCTGAGGGACGGTGGACCAGCCCACGGCTGAAAAAGGTTGGTGACCCCTGGCTTACCCGATGCCCTTTTAAACGTGTTGTGAGAAGGGCTGTTCCTGGCTTGTCTTTGTTCTTATTTTTATTACAGTGGTACCTTGGATTACAGACGCTTCAGGTAACAGACTCCGCTAACCCAGTAATAGTACTGCAGGTTAAGAACTTTGCTTCAGGATGAGAACAGAAATTGCGCGGCGGCGTGGCAGCAGTGGGAGGCCCCATTAGCTAAAGTGGAACTTCAGGATAAGAACAGTTTCAGGTTAAGAACAGACCTCCAGAATGAATTAAGTTCTTAACCCAAGGTAAAAGGTAAAGGGACCCCTGACCTTTAGGTCCAGTTGTGGCCGACTCTGGAGTTGCGGCGCTCATCTCGCTTCACTGGCCGAGGGAGCCGGCGTACACCTTCCACGTCATGTGGCCAGCATGAGTAAGTCGCTTCTGGTGAACCAGAGCAGCGCACGGAAATGCCATTTACCTTCCCGTCGGAGTGGTACCTATTTATCTACTTGCACTTGACATGCTTTCGAACTGCTAGGTTGGCAGGAGCAGGGACCGAGCAACGGGAGCTCACCCCGTCGCGGGGATTCGAACCTTTGACCTTCTGATCAGCAAGTCCTAGGCTCTGTGGTTTAACCCACAGCGCCACCCGTGTCCCTTAAACCAAGATACTTATTTATTTATTTTGTGGTTTTGGTGTTGCAATTTTACATACGAACCACCCTGAGATCTACAGGTATAGGGCAGTATACAAATTCAATTCATCACCATCGTCAGTGTCTATGACACCTCTCTCCAAACACAATCCCATATCTCTCTCTCCCTCCCTCTCTCTGACCTTCAAAACACACCCCTCTTCCTTACTGTCTGGGGGCTGCTCCATCAGTGGATTTATGGTTCCTGGGCCAAATCTGAGATGATCCAGAAGCTCTGGCACCCCGGTCCAGAAGGTCACATTCTGAACACCTTCCCCTCTTCTCCCGCACCCCAGCACAGCCAGCCTCGTAGACAAGCTGGAGGCACGCTTGCACAGAGCATCCTTCTCACCTGAGATGCCGCTCAGAGTTCTAGATTCTGCGTCTCCCTGGCAACGGACCACACAGCATCCCTGAGGGGCAGCGGGGTTTCTGCACGCCTCGCTGCCTCGGTGGCTTGCGGAGAGGCCAGCAACAGCACACCATGCTGTCAGGCGATTGAAGTCCCGGCTGGGGACGTCGGGATCAGGGGCAAGATGGCGGGGTGGGAGCAGGAATTGGAGTCCAGAGGTAAGGAGTCAGAAAGCCAAGAGTCCGAGGGTCAAGAAGCAAGGAGTCATGAAGTCAGGGGTCCGAGGATCAAGAAGCAAGGAGTCACAAAGTCAGGGGTCCAAGGAGCAAGGAGTCATGAAGTCAGGGGTCCGAGGGTCAGGAAGCAGGGAGTCATGAAGTCAGGGGTCCGAGGGTCTCAAAGGGTAAGTAAAGGTAAAGGGAACCCTGACTATTAGGTCCAGTCATGGCCGACTCTGGGGTTGCAGCACTCTTCTCGCTTTATTGGCCGAGGGAGCCGGCGTACAGCTTCTGGGTCATGTGACCAGCATGACTAAGCCGCTTCTGGCAAACCAGAGCAGCGCACGGAAACACTGTTTACCTTCCCGCTGGAGCGGTACCTATTGATCTACTTGCACTTTGAGGTGCTTTCGAACTGCTAGGTTGGCAGGAGCAGGGACCGAACAACGGGCGCTCACTCCGTCACGGGGATTCGAACCACCGACCTTCTGATCGGCAAGTCCAAGGCTCTTTGGTTTAACCCACAGCGGCACTCAAAGGGTACTGCAATAATAAATGCTTTCTGGCTGATATTGAATGAGCCATGCAATAAAAAGTATTTGTTAGATAAAGTTAAATTAAGTTAACAAAAAACACCTTCACGCAACTGTGTAAATAATAGTTTAATTGTAAATTACGGTAGTACAATGGGCATAGTCAGAAGTTCCTTTCTTTGCTGATTCAAACAGTGAATAACATTATGTCTTTGCCTTTATTCACACTTTCATTCTTCTTTCTCTTTGTTTTTTCTTTCTTCTGTTCTTTTCCATTCTTTCCTTTTTATATTTCTAATCTTTATAAGATAGTGAATATTATTTTGTTTGTATTGCATGTGTTTTAAGAACCTGTTTGTCTAATAAACTCTTTAAAAAAAAAAAAAAAGGATGTGAAAAGGAGTACTTTAAATGGTAAAACAAACAGAAAATTCAATAAAAAATATATACAAAAAAAGAGAGATAACTTGCTCATCGTTCTCTTGGAACTGAAGCACCTGCTGTTTCTGCTGTTATTAAATGCTTAGCTTTGGGGCACACAATGGCTGGAAATCTGCCCTTTCAGACTGATGGAGCGGCTCCAGGATGCTGGAAACGGGGGACTCTGCCAGGACTCCGGACCATGACACCCAATGGGACTGGCAGACCCCCAGCTGTGCCCCATTACAGTGGTACCTCGGGTTACATAACGCTTCAGGTTACATATGCTTCAGGTTACAGACTCCGCTAACCCAGAAATAGTGTTTCAGGTTAAGAACTTTGCTTCAGGATAAGAACAGAAATCGTGTTCTTGCGGCGCGGCGACAGCAGGAGGCCCAATTTGCTAAAGTGGTGCTTCAGGTTAAGAACAGTTTCAGGTTAAGTACAGACCTCCAGAACGAATTAAGTTCTTAACCCGAGGTACCACTGTATAGGTTCGTGTTCTTCTCATGTATACAGTGGTACCTCGCAAGACGA